AAAGACATCAAGACTTTGGTCTCTCTCTCTCTCTCTCTCTCTCTCTCTCTCATGTGCACAAGGCAAAAGGGATTCAAGACTTATTATGGATCCCTCTCTCATGTGCGCAAGGCCAAAAGGACACAGATTTACTATGGATCTCTCTCTTTATTCTCTCTGTCTCTATCTCTCTCTGCAAAAGGGACATATATAGTATGGATCTCTCCCGCAACATCTCTCCCCCCCCCCCCAAACAAAAAATAAACCCCCACCTCCCCAAAAATAAATAAATAATCCTGAACATACTTGGTAAGCACTGAGCCCTTGAATCAACACAAGTTATCCACCTGGTGACCGGTTACACATGCCCCTGATAGCATATGTCACCACCCCACTCGTACTCGCGGGGCCTTCCACACCTATCACTCCATTTGCAAACCCACTCAGTGGAGGCTGAACATTACCACCTGTAACGCTCCCACCACGAATCACATTCATGGGTGACTGTACCTGCATGGCATACATCGGCTGATAATGAGTTGAGCCCAAAACTGGTGCCTAAGGCAAAGGAGCACTTGGTCTTACAGTATATAGTCAGAGTGCAATGCAATGACGGGTAAGGAATTTGGCATTGAACCCATAGGCACGGAAGAAGTGAGTGAAGATAGCATTGATAAGAGAGGAGGGGGCATAGGAAATGAAGATAATGACAGAGAATGCAGCAAACCAGGTGGGAGAGGGGTCGGGGCATATGCATATGTTGAGGCATAGCCAAATGGGAAGGATGTGGAATTGGGGACAAAGGAGTTGGTAGAGGGAGAGAGACCATTTGGGGAGCTCTAACTTCTTGTGGGATTTGGTTGTATTGTGTGGATTCTAAGAGAAAAGGATGGGGCACTAAAGGGAGAGGAGGTTGAGCCATAGGCATTAGAACTTGGAGAGGTGGCCTTTGTTCCCCTTGTTCTGATGAATCCGGAATAGGAATAGATAGAGGCATCGTTACCCCAACGCCTGGAATGGTTCCTTCGTTGCGTGTCAATCTAGATGGAAAAGCTCCAAGACCGGCTGAGGCTTTTGGTAATGGGAAATTGCTTGATAGGGGGTATGCAAGACCAACAGCATCACCGGGACCTGTAGAAGAAGAAATGAACCAGACATTTTTTTTTTTTTTTGGAAGTTAGAAAATAACCACACATGAAATCGTGGAAGACTGGAAGCAGAATAAATACATATTTCTCTACCTGTTAAACTTTCAACGAAAAATATCAGAACAATATCCACATGAAAGTACAATGTGATCCAACTTAAGAAAAGGGTAGAA